TTCGAGAACCACAATTTAGGGGAACGTCCCCCATCCACTTGTGACTCCGCAAATTTAAAATCAGCCTCCCTTTACCCGCGGGTAACACGTACGGCACTGTAAAAGTTTGCGTAGGTAAAATTATTGCCACGGGAATCACTAGAGCTAGAAGGCTGACATTGTGTGAGCATGTTCCCTGCCCACGTGCTACTCAGGAAATTTAAATTCAGCCTTCTCCTGCCCCTGGGTAACACGAGCAGCCCCGTGAAAACTTTTGCGAGTAAATTATTATCCCGAGAACCACGAAATCTACGAAGCTGAAATTTTAGGGTAATGACCTCCTGCCCACGAACGATGTTACAAATTCAAATTCAGCTTTCCCGCGCTCTCGAGTATCACCTACGTCTCCGTGAAAATTTTTGCAGGTAAATTATTGTTTCGGGAACCAGAGAATTCACAAAACTGAAATTTTAGCGTGGCATTCCCTGCCTACGGGCAAATCCGCAATTTTTCAACGTCTCTGTGTATGTTTTGGCAAGAAAAACCATTATCTCGGGAACCAGAAGTGCCTGGAGACTGAAAATTTCAGAAGAATGTTTCCTACCTAAGCAGGGGCTTCTCAAACTCGGATTCAGTTCCTAAGTGTGCCAAACTCTCACGTACGACCATGTGAAAGTTTTATCTCAAAAATCATTCGAAAGCCAGAGAATTAGGAGATCGAAATTCTGGAAGGATATTCACCTTTCGAGGTTTCAAATTCTGCTTTTGCGTACCGGTCCGTGAAATTTTTAACTATTTTTTGGCGTTCCAATTATTTTTGCACAGATTAAAGTACAAAGCAGTGGAAGTCATTAACGGGCGATAGTTCGGTGGATAAAATTGCACAAAACGCATGATCTCACCGGCTATTCTGTTACACGCTGCTGCTTATTTATTTATTTATTTTTTTGCTGTAGTAACTTAAAATCGCTGAAGCTCTTTCTTACCTCAGTCATGAACTGCACATGTGTATTGTCTTCTTTCGATAGAGACAGATTGAGACAGACTGTATGCATAACTGCTTCTGTACAGCGTAAAAATGAGGGAAGAGTGTAAAGTGTAGCTAAGGGTGAGAAGCTGGCAGTGCTAATATGTGTGAATTGAATAAAGCAGATAGAGCGTATGTGTAAGTGATATGTTGTAGAAGCTACGCTTTACCTCATTAGTTTTGAAAGTGTGACACTTTTACAATTTTCTTCGGCCATTTGTGAAGAATAATTTAATTCAGAAAGGCACTCGCTGTATGGTGGAAAATACAATTTCGTTCTGTAAAGCTGTAATGCCAAAACAACAATTTGTTCAGAACAGGCCATAACACATAAGCTGCGGCAAAAGCTATGGAACCGGTACAATAACGCGTTTCTGCGATCATTTGTATAGTCCGCACAGTTGATGAGCACTGTGACACACAATTAATGACTGTACTGTGCTAGGATGGTCTTTCGGTCAAACGGATGCATGAAAATCCGAGAATTCTCGGGCTTACGATTTGTTTTTAGGTTCATGAAACCACAAAACAGCCCTAAATAGCATCATGCAGATTTTGAGATAAGGCTTATCCCGATTTCATTATAATGCATTTTTGACATACGATTTTTTTCCCCACAAAAATGGACCGAATAACACTAACAAATAGATCGTAAAGCTCTGTGTGACAGTATATACGAGATCTGTAAGCGATTGAGAAAGAGCGACTAGTATCCC